TTGCTGTCTAACTGAATGCAAAACTGTGGTCGAGGAAGAATTACACTTTCTGAGAATTTGTGAAAATTATACCGATTTAAGAGTTTTGTATAAAGTGAACACATACTTTGATTATAGAGAATCAACCTTAAGCTATTTACAAAGTAAATGTGATGATGTAATGAATAATATATGCAAATTTGTATATCATGCATTCTTGAAAAGAGACAATTACATAAAATCAAAATCTAAACATAAAGGACAATCACAGAGTACAATGTGAATAATCATAATTGAAAGTATGTCTGATCAACTGAAAAATGAAACTGTACAAATATATCTAATGGACTGTACATGTATATTGAAAATGAATTGTATTTATTAATAGATGTTAAAATTGTCGATTAACAATATGAATATTCATGAACTAACATATATTGAGTGTACTATGGGTCTTTGGGCTAACATGCATTGAAAATAAAATTATTATTATTATTATTATAACACCAATCATGAGATTATGTGGCTTCTATACGTGCGTATTATTCTGCACTGGCCGTACAATTTTATAGTTTTGGAGGTCGGCCGTAGCCATGGTTGGAAATTGGGTTTTGAAAAAAAAGTCTATTTTTCCAGCGGGCAAAATGACCGATGGGTCAGATCTAGTTACGGTCATTTTCCATAGCCCTCGGTTCCGACCGGCATATACGGCTGACGTGGAACCCATGGTTCACACACATGTGAAATAATAAGTTAATAAAGAGGGTATTCAAAAATACTGTGACAAAATATACTCTCGTAGTGGTATTAATCAAATGTGGATATTAAAAAATTCCAAAGAATTACTTGATGGTTTGCAATCTAGATCCCTTGCTTCAGTCTCATCTATACAAATGTTTGACTTTTCTAAGTAGATCGTGGCATTTGTCATCTAAGCTTCAACTACAGGGATACTTGCGCACTAAACTTATAAAAACCTTTATAAAGTTTTATGGCCGTCATATTGACTTGACAGGGGCAGATCCAGAGGGGGGGTTTGGGTGGTCGAAACCACCCCTGCTCAGCTACATAAATTTTTATACGCCCACATGGAAATGTGGTCGTATATTGCCGTCGGTCCGTCTGTCCATCGTCCACAATTCCTTGTGAACACTCTACAGACTACATTTATCAACCGATTTTTTTTAAATTGATATATGTTGTTTGCATTAGTGAGATGAAGAAGCCTATTTAATTTCAATAACTTCTGTTTATTTCTTCTGGAGTTATGACCCTTGTTTCACTTTGTTGCACCTTGCGAACGCTCTAACGACAAAAGTTATCAACCGATCTGTATGAAATTTATATGCATCATTTAAATTAGTAAAACAAAGAAGCCTATTGAATTTCAGCAATTTCTGTTAATTACATCTAGAGTTATGGCCCTTGTTTCACTTTGTTGAATGTTGTGAACGCTCTAATGACAAAAGTTATCAACCGATCTATATGAAATTTATATGCATCATTTAAATTAGTAAAACAAGGAAACCTATTGAATTTCAGCAATTTCTGTTAATTACATCTAGAGTTATGGCCCTTGTTTCACTTTGTTGAAACTTGTGAATGCTCTAATGACAACAGTTATCATCCGATCTGTTTGAAATTGATATGCATCATTTAAATTAGTGAAATGAAGAAGCCTATTGAATTTCAGCAATTTCCGTTAATTTCTTCTGGAGTTATGGCCCTTGTTTTACTTTGTTGTACCTTGTGAACGCTCTAATGACAAAAGTTATCAAACGATTTGTATGATATTTATATGCATCATTTAAATTAGTAAAACAAAGAGGCCTATTGAATTTCAGCAATTTCCGTTAATTACATCTAGAGTTATGGCCCTTGTTTCACTTTGTTGAATATTGTGAACGCTCTAATGACAACAGTTATCATCCGATCTGTTTGAAATTGATATGCATCATTTTAATTAGTGAAATGAAGTAGCCTATTGAATTTCAGCAATTTTCGTTAATTACGCCGTGAGTTATGGCCCTTGTTTCACTTTGTTGTACCTTGTAAATGCTCTAACGACAAAAGTTATTATCCGATCTGTATGAAATTTATATGTATCATTTAAATTAGTAAAACGAACAAGCCTATTGAGTTTCAGTTATCACCTAAATTAGTGAAATGAGACAAACAAGCCTATTGAATGTCAGCAATTTCCATCAATTACGTCGAGAGTTATGGCCCTTGATTTACTTTGTTGAACTTTGTGAACTTTCGAACAACAAAAGTTATCATCCGATCTATATGAAATTCATATGCATTATTTGAATTATTAAAACGAAAAAAGCCTGTCGAATTTGAACAATTTCTGTAGATTGCTTCCAGAGTTACGGCCCTTGTTTTAGATTTTAGAACCTTGTGAACCTTCAAACAATGGAAATTATAATGTCATCTGTATGAAATTGTCTATTAAATTCCCTTAATACCTACAAAAGATTGTGTGACAACCCTTGTCGACTGCTCGGACGATTTAGCTGCTGTGGGCGTATGTTTTGTTGCCAGGCAACCTATCTTTTTGTAAATCAACACTTTTTATGAGAAAGGTTTCTCGGCCGTGTGCTTTATCCTTTATCGTAAGATTTGGGACAGGATGGGCACTCAAAGCACGAGATAATGATATAGACATTATGTGATATCACAATTAATGCTTTGCATCCATGAAATTGAATCACATTTTGCATACCGGTAGTCCATTGCCAAATCACGCTATTTTACCGAGATTTCGTCTAATAGTTTGGATGCAGCTATGGCGGGTGTGGCACCAGGCAGGGTAAGCTTACTTTTCCGGACACCTGTTACCACTGTTTGTCATGTATTTTGTACATGGCTCGCGTAAAGCCAAATTAACGCGAGTGATTAAGTACTCGCGCAAATAAAAAAATAATTTAATCAAAAATAATGGAATATCGTAATAAAAAAGAAAAGCCGTAAGCAAGTTGTATGCCTTCATATTGATGCACTATTGTGCACGCGGTGTGGCCTCTTGTCTTTCCAGTGCCACCTGTTGTTACTAAAAATACTTTGAGACATGTACTGCCAGGCCGTTTTCAAGACTGGAGCGAATGTAGAATGTAGTTGTCATTTCTATATTAATTTAAATTTAAAAACAAGGGTATATACCGAGCGAAATTCTCGGCTTTCACGCGGTAAAAAGCCGAGCGATCATGTTTTTGCATACCTAATGAAGTTATTTTAAGAATAAGTTATTTGATTGGTCATTCGCCAAGGTCAATGGTTGAAGTGTCCAATCAGAAACAAACAACCCTCCAGGTCAGGTTATTTGGCATGGGCACTAAGCTGATGTTCCAGATATCCTTTCTGGTAGGTTTATCACAAATATTCTAGATAAACACGGCTTTAATTTATTTTTTTAGATCACTCAATAAGTTTGAAAGACAACCATATGCACAAAATAATAATAATACTATTACTAAGTTCTGTTCTGAATAACATTAAAATTTATGTCAGTCAAAGTAATATGTATTATCAAATTATGTATAATGTATACACAAGGTTGCGTGTAAATATATATATATATATATATATATATATATATACACACAATATAATAAGCCAATATATTGAAATATTGTATAATTTATAAGAAATACATATAGGCTATGTGAAAAGTCATTTTATTAAAATAAAATAAATCAGTGGAACAGAACTGCCAAACAGATCTCAAATCAGTTTTTTTTCTACAGTTAACAATTTTAGTCAAATTATATCTATGAAAGTTATGGTCAGAATTTATTTAAACTTAGGTAGAAACAAGAAACATGGTTTCAATTCAACACAGCCTAAAAGAGTATGCATTGCCATACAGGCACATGCAATTTAAATGGCTACTCACGCACATCATTCTGCGTGAGTAAATACATGTACTCGCCTCACTCGCTCGTGGCAAGCCCTGGGTGTAGGCATGGTTTCAATCTGAAAGTGAATAGATATAGATGTACATCTAAGTAAACAATTTAAATGTTTATACCCTATTAATATTTACGATAGTTCGTTGAGAATGTATAACAACGAAAATTAACGTTTTCTATTATTTGAGAAATTTGGACGCGACAACAAAATATGGACAGCGTCTTTATCAACAATAAATCACATCAGTTCGTATAGGAAGTCTTTTCTCGATCAGCACACATGAATCAGTATTTAGTACAATGTTTATTCTTTCTTTTCAGCTTACCATATGATGCCATACAAAATATTTATAAGTTGAATTCACCACAGTGAAAGTATAATGTTTGCCTTTAGAAAAACACTTAGAAACAATGGCTTCCGTTGAAAATCAGCTGTCCATTTATTACACAATCACTGATTGGCTTACTGAAGCACTAAGCACGCTTATCGTTGGTTAATTATGATGACATAAGTTCACTGATCTTGAACCGAGATGGCTTACGAACTGCACGGCTACTGCGGGTTGTTTTGGCTAGTGGGGGTGAACTTGATTCATAGCAATCATTGACCGGCACACGGTTACAATAATAAATATGCTACGAAATTGGAATTTATTAATCAAATCTTACATTAGGATGCACAACACTTTGAACTATTTTGCAAAATGGATTTTTGCTCTAAGTAGGACAACGTTTATCTTTTTAGCAATTAGGCAAGTGTAGGGTTCCCATCAGTATATTCTTCAAACTGATTAAATTTATTATGTTGATAATGATGATGTCTCAAACAATTTCAGAACATTGTTAAATTATGTACCCATTCGATAGCCATTCTGATTGCGTATATATGTAACAACAGAAATAAAAACTGCTATATATATCTACAGTCTCAAAATAACCGAAATAAAGTGTCGCCTGGGCATTGAAAACTATTCCATCCCACTATTTCATTCATTAATTTATTGTATCTGATGAATACTTTCAAATATATTTGACAGTTAAAACATTTCATTTTCAAGAATATTAGTATTGTTTAATAAACTGGATAATAATATTAATTTGATCCAGAGAAAGACAGAAGAGGAACAAGAGAGAATATCAGAATTGGAAGATAAAATTCGTACCCTGACAACAGAGACTAAAAAATTGGAACTGAGTGTAGACTCAGCTAATAGAGAAAAAGTTGGTACCAGTATTTTATAAGTTTTTGATTAAATCATGAAATGATATTTCCATACAGAAGTACAACATAAATCAGAACTGGCTTGTCCACGAGAAAACCATGCAAAATCATGCAAAATCGGGAAGGTGAGGGGTCGGCCGATTCCATTCATATTCATAGGGTTTGGTCATGCCCATGAGACTACTCGATAGCCAAAACCGCCGATCTCAGAAATTGACCCTAGCCAAGATATGGCAGGCAGGTGTTTTTGGGGCTTTTTTCTCATTTTTTTGTCAATTTTAGGCAATGTTAGCTGCTGTTTTTCAGGTTGTAAATGAGTACGTATGAAACAAATGATGATTCGATATATTAGGCTAGGTAGTAACGTTTCAAAAAAATGAAGAAAGAAAAATCTATCTTTCCACTCAGGGGTGCCGTTTGGTTATTCCTGAAGTGTATAAATCAAACCTTATAAAGTACCCTAACTTTATGCCGCGATATCTTCACTGCCGCAGGGTCCCATGAATTCTTTTTGTGGTTGTTAGTAACTGGGTATCAGGTCTCTCAATTAAAAAAAAATTAAATTTCATATATGTCTATAACTACACTCTCAAAAATAGTGGTTAATTTTGACAAAAATCAGATAAATTCAAGCAAATGAAGTATAATACAGACGCCTTCACAGCTGCTATGTTTTCGCAACATAATGTTCGTATGACAACTCTTATTGCAACTGGAAGTGAAAATTTGCTAAAATTCGCATTATTTCACTCTTAAATCTCTTGATATGTACAGATCTCATTATAAGCTGCAGTTGAGAGAACTGTCATAGCTCACAATAGTCATTGAATAGTAAAATGTAGGCCTAAATCCTCAAGATTGGAAAATAAATTCTACACTCTAAAAAGTTCCAGGTCAGCACGACTAAAAAGGCAAGATTTTTTCTTTTCTTTCAATTCTTAGGACCGATGTTATCTTTACCTCTACCTGCAACCAATGAGTTAATCATCTATATTTAGACTATACCCTACCTACAAGTAGTTTTCCTACACTCTTAAAGTACGGTGATCATCATCTTTACAAAAAGCCCAAAAATAAACAAAAAACTTTTTTTTTTCAATTGGCTTAATGTAGCAATATATTATATTAGCTGTACGTATATATCCGAATATCGAACAGCAACAATTGGTACTAGTAGTAGGGTAGTTTTATACATGTTTGTCTAACTCGTAACATTTTTTTCAACTTGTATGTAAAGCAGAAAGCACAGATTGCTCTCTGAGGTAAGAATATACAATCGCAGATTAAATACTAATTTGGGCAATGCCCAGACCCCTCAACCCCTCAGTGCTGAAATGCAGTAGGGTAGTGTAAAATATGCAGTAGATACCATGATTTGGCAGTAGATTTCCAAAAACGCGTAAATTCACACTTCCAAGGGTAATTAATTATAGAAATGATACACTGAACTGCAGGCCCAACAATACAAAAATTGCATTAAATGGGTAATAGATAAAATATACACAAGCAATGGTACCATATCTAAAATTATTTATGTAATTAAACCAAAATTGAATATGTAGCCTACAGAAAGAAATAATTAGTAACGTAAAAAATAATTAAAATTACCAGTCCAGTAGTACTGGCAGTAAGTAACACTTTTCTTTTGTTTTAACTTAGCATGATTTTAAAAAATATCTTTGTGACGTGTTCCCCATTTCAGAGTTTTTAACAATTGTTTCATGTAAGATAATTGGTGTGCTTATTAGATTCTACATTAGGAATAGAGGGGGGGGGGGAGTCGTAAAAAATGAGTTTTGCGTACCGGTAACAACTAAATATTGGTATCAATTTAATCATGCCCCCCATTGCGACTATCCTCTCAATGTATGGGATTTCTTTCTCCTGTGATTGCGTAAATCTGCTTTTACATTTATTCGAGAGAGTGTTCCATGTAAGTCAGAATCAGCGAGAGGTATTCCCATCTTGAAATAAAATATCCAGGTTGTGTTGCATTTGAAGTATTGTATTAGATGCTGTACGTATGCGCGCAAACGAAAATGTCAGCCATTGCTGCCGTAAATTGGTCGCTATTTGTTTAGTTTATCGCTACGCATTTTAAGAGTATTTGGAACATGTGCCAATAATTATATCCACTTTATTTACTCTAAAATAGATTGAAAAGAATTTGAGAACAAATCTCTTAGCTAAATTACACCTTACAATATCCCAAATCGATGTTGATAACCGAAAGTCGCGATCTTTATTGTTTACATGCAAAGAGTTGCTTCCCTTAGTTTTGGCGAGAAAATTTAAAAACTCTTTGTTTGAAAATGCGGTAGAAATCTATTACCACACAGTAGAGCGGTACATGAGGCCTTTTCGCGGCACTTTACCGCGTGATGCGGTAGAGTTGACAGGTCTGGCAATGCCCGTTATTGACCTCGTGAGTCAATCTTTAATCCTCAAAAAATATCAAATATATACAAAACTTACTTTCGGGAGGGAATACTAATCCTTACAAAATATCACATCTAATTACATTCATGAACCCTCACAAAATATCAATTGTAATACAAAAACTACGTTCATAATGTTTCACAATATATCAGAGACATTTAATGAATCCTTTCCTTACAAAATATCAAATACAGTATTATACAAAATTTATATTCATGAACCCTCGCAAAATATCATACAAAATTTACATTCATAAATTTTTACAAAATATCAGAAGGATAAAATAGTGGTAGCACCTCATGAATCTAATCTCCTCAATATATATCAGGATCTATCAGCAGGACGGTGTTACTATCATTGACAAATAGTAAATATCATCGGGACGGTGTTATAATCATTGACAAATAGTAAATATCAGCAGAACCGTGTTATAATCATTGATAAATAGTAAATATCATCAGGACGGTGTTATAATCATTGACAAATAGTAAATATCAGCAGAACGGTGTTATAATCATTGACAAATAGTAAATATCAGCGGGATGATGTTACTATCATTGAAAAATAGTAAATATCAGCGTGACCATGTTACTATCATTGAAAAATAGTAAATATGAGCAAGACAGTGTCATTGAAAAATAGTAAATATCATCAGGACGATGTTATAATCATTGACAAATAGTAAATATCAGTAGAACGGTGTTACTATCATTGACAAATATGTAGTAAATATCAGCGGGACGATGTTACTATTATTGAAAAATAGTAAATATCATCAGGAAGGTGTTACTATCATTGACAAATAGTAAATATCAGCGGGACGATGTTACTATCATTGAAAAATAGTAAATATCATTAGGAGGGTGTTATAATCATTGACAAATAGTAAATATCAGTAGAACGGTGTTACTATCATTGACAAATAGTAAATATCATCAGGACGGTGTTACTATCATTGAAAAATAGTAAATATCAGTAGAACGGTGTTACTATCATTGACAAATAGTAAATATCAGCGGGACAATGTTACTATCATTGACAAATAGTAAATATGAGCAGGACGGTGTTATAACCATTGACAAATAGTAAATATCAGCAGAACGGTGTTACTATCATTGACAAATATTAAATATCAGTGGGACGATGTTACTATCATTGAAAAATAGTAAATATCATCAGGACGGAGTTATAATCATTGACAAATATTAAATATCAGTAGAACGGTGTTACTATCATTGACAAATATTAAATATCAGTGGGACGATATTACTATCATTGAAAAATAGTAAATATCATCAGGACGGAGTTATAATCATTGACAAATATTAAATATCAGTAGAACGGTGTTACTATCATTGAAAAATAGTAAATATCAGTGGGACGATGTGACTATCATTGAAAAATAGTAAATATCAGCGGGACGATATTACTATAATTGAAAAATAGTAAATATGAACAGGACGGTGTCATTGAAAAATAGTAATTACCATCAGGACGGTGTTATAATCATTGACAAATAGTAAATATCAGTAGAACGGTGTTACTATCATCCATATTTTGTCACTATATTGTTTAGAACATATCAATATTAGATGATCCAATATCAAAATTGTCAAAACTTAGATAATGTTATCGCCCATGCGTATGAAGATATATGAAATTTTATTTTTTTAATCGAGAGACCTTGTACCCATTTACTAACAACCACAAAAAGAATTCATGGGACCCCGCGGCAGTGGAGATATCGGGGCATAAAGTTGGGTACTTTATAGGGTTCGATTTATACCCTTCAGGAATAACCAAATGACAACCCGCAGTGGAAAGATAGATTTTTCTTTTTTCATTTTTTTGAAACATTACTACCTAGCCTAAAATATTGAATCATCATTTGTTTCATAAGTATTCATTTACAACCTGAAAAACAGCAGCTAACATTGCATAAAATGGACGAAAAAAGTGAGCAAAAAGCTCCAAAATACACCTGTTTGCCGTATCTCAAGCTATGGTCAATTTCTGAGATCGGCGGTTTTGGCTATCGAGTAGTCTCATGGGCATGACCAAACCCTGTGAATATGAATGGAATGGGCCGACCCCTCACCTTCCCGATTTCTGCATGGTTTTCCCGTGGACTAGCACTTAAGCGGAGCTTATGTCGACCGTACAACTGAGAGCAACTGGCTTCAACTGAATGCAACTGAAAAAGGTCGATCTAAGCGTCTCTTACAACTCAAAGCAACTAGTTCCAGTCAGTTAAAGCCAGTTGCCCATGTTTAACTTTCTGCAACTCGCTTTAACTTTGTGCAACTAGTTCCCGTCAACATGAGCATTGTTACGACTGGTGTCAACTCGTTTCCATAGAAATAACATCACGTGATAAGAGACGTGTCATGTGACTTTATAAATAGGCAAAATGGAAGCAAACAATGGCACCCACTTTTTAAATGTTGATGATGTCGACAATAATGTAGTAATAGAATTCTAGCCATTTTGTTGCTCACGTGATAAATTTATTAATAGTTAAGTGTGACCACTTTCAGTTCCGAGTCAACATTGGCACTCC